GCCCAGACAAGAATAACAAGTCATATCACCTAGGTACTATGACCAGAGATATGTCACAATCTTCCCTATGGGCAAATCCCAGGAAAGAGAAGAGAGACACATTAAATAGTTGATTGGCCCAGAGATATATCACAATGCCCCTGTGGGCAGGTTTCAGGCAGGAGACACATCACCTTGGTTCTGGGCTCAGCTATATGTCACAATGTCTTCTGACGGCAGGGCCAAGGCAAAAGAGTAATGTCACCTTGGTGCTGGGCACAGTGATATGTCACCATTTCCCTTATGGGCAGAACCTAGAAAAAAGAGGAGAGTCACATCAGCTGGATTCTGGGCGTAGCAATATGTCACAATACCTGCTGTGAGCAAAGACAGGTAGAAGAAGAGTGTGACATCATGGAGCCTCCTGTAGGCAGGGTCATGGCAAGACAGTTACATTACCTGCATGCAAGGCCTAGTGATATGTAACAATGTCTACTTTGGGCAGTGCCAAAGCAGAAGAGAAGACTCATATCACCTGGGTGCAAGGCCCAGTGATATGTCACAATGCCCACTGTGGGCAGTACTGAGACAGAAGACTAGATCACATTACCTAGGTGCCGGGTCCAGCAGCATGGCACATTTTGAACTGTGAGCTAGACCCAGGCAAGAGAAATCACTTAAGACCTGGGTAGAGACTTATTTAACAATCACACCTGTAGGAAGGTACAGGGATGATATATTAACAAGCCCACACATGTCCGGGTTCTAGGTACGAAAGTCAACACCTCTTGTATGTTGGGTTTAAGTATATGAGTCACCATCTCAGCAGTGGACTGGATCAGTGCATGGGAGCCTCAATCTTTTCTGCAGACTGTCTCACCTTAGTAGTCATAGTCTCACAGGTTTGCTGAATCTTAGCCTGAGAGTCACCAAAACACCTGTGGACATGATCCACCTATGAGAGTCAATTTTCCAACTTTTGACTGCCTCCAGGTGTGAGATTCAGAATCTCAATAGTGGGCTGTGTTCATCGGAAATAACAATCTTTACTGTCAGCAGGATATGCATATGAGTGTAGGGTCAATCCTCTTGGGAGAGATTGACCCAACATACAAGATATGTTGACACCCCCACCTAGAACTGGGACATGTGCGGGATTGTAATCTTATTCCTGGACCTTCCTGCAAGTGTGATTGTGACATACACCTCTACCCAGCATGTAAGTGGTTTGCCTCTGCTGCCTGGAGTGAACTCACAGATAAAATTGTGACATATTGCTTGACCCTGCACCTAAGTGGTATGACTCTATTCTCAAGCCTTGGCACTGCCCACATGAAGAATTGTGACATATTGCTGGGTCTTGCACCCAAGTTATGTGAGTCTTTTCTTCTGCCTTGATGTTGTATACAGGGAGCATTATGACATATTGCTGCACCCTGTCTCAAGGATTTGTGGTTCTTCTGCCTGTGCCTTGCCCACATGGGCCAATGGGACATACTGCTGAGTCTAACACTTAGGTAATGTAACTCTCCTGCCTGGGCACTGCTTACAGGAAACATTGTGATATATTTGTGTACCTATCAACCAGGTTACATAAATCTCTTCTCCTTCCTGATTCCTGACGCTTAGGTAATAAAACTTCCCTGCCTGGGAACTTCTTACGGAGGACATTGTGATACATGTGTGTACCCATCAACCATGTTACACAAATCTCTTCTCCTTCCTGATTCCCGCTAACAGAGGGGATTGTGGCTCTTCTATTCTTTTTAGGTTCTGTCTTCAGGGAAAATTGTGACATATCACTGGGCCCAACACTAACACAATGTTACTCTTTTGCTTTGGCCCTGACCTCGAAAGGCATTCAGCCCTATTGCTGGGCCTAGCACCAAAATGATGTGCCTCTTTTGCCTGGAGACACATTGTGACATATCTCAAAGCTTATGAACTATTTGATGTGATCTCTATTCTTACTTGCACTTTGCTTATGAAAGATTGTGACATATCTCTGTCTCTGGGTCCCCTCCTTCTGGACAAACCCCCCCAGAAAAAAAAATATGACTTATTGCTGACCTCAGCACACAAGTGATGTAATTCTTCTGCCTGGTCCCTACCCATAGGGAGCATTGTGACATATTTTTTAATCTACAAATTTTTCATGCAACTTTTCTCTTTTACCTTAATCCTCCACATGGTCCCTGCCCACCCAGGGCATTGTAACATAGCTCTAGGCCCCTCATCTATTGGATGTGATGCTCTTTTCATACCTGGGCTTTGCCAAAAAGTGAGATTCTGATATATATGTGTGGGCTCAGCACCTAAATAATGTGACTCTCCTCCTTTGCCTGGGTCCTGTATTCATTGTGTGTTATGACATATGGCTGAGTCCAGTACCTACATGACGTGACTCTCCTGCCTGGGTTTTGCCCACAGGGTATTTTAAAATATCTTTTTCTTTATTACCTAGGTGATGTGACTCTCTTATTCCACCAGAGCCTTGCCAAATAGAAGGATTGTGACATATCACTGAACACAGCTCCTAGGTCATATGGCTCTCTCCTTTTGCCTGGGCCTCACATATTTTGGGTATTGTAACAAATGGCTGGGCCCCACCACTAGAAGATGGGAGGCTTGTGCATGGATCCTGCCTACGTGGGGGCCTTTTGATATTTATCTGTATCTGTCACTTAGAAGATGTGACTTTCCTACCTGCACCGTGCCCACAAGGAAGATTGGGAACTATCACTAGGCCATGTGCCCAGGTTATGTAACTCTGCTGCCTGTGTTCTACTTTCAGGAAGAAATTGTCACAACCTCTTCTACAGGCAATGCCCAGGTAAGAGTAGAGAATTACATCAAATAGTTGACAGACCCAGAGATATGTCACAATGTCCCCTGTGGACAGAGTTCAGGAAAGAGATTCACATCATGTTGGTGCTGGGTCCAGCAATATGTCACAATGCCTTCTGAGGGCAAGGCCAAACCAAAGAGAAAAGAGTAATGTCACTTTGGTGCTTGGCCCAGTGATATTTTACAATCCCCCCCCATAAGCAGTGATCAGGCAGAATGAGAGTGTCATATCACCTGGGAGATGCACGTAGAGATATGTCACAATGCCCCCTATAGTCAAGGTCTAAGCAGGAGAGTTACATTACCTGGGTTTTGGACTAAATAATATGTTATAATGCCTTATGTGGGCGGGGCACAGGCAGGAGAATCACATACCTTGGGTGTGGAGCCTAGTGATATGTCACAGTGCCCCCTGTGGGCAGTGCCTAGGCAGGAGAGGAAATTCACATCACCTGGTTACCAGCCCAAGCAATTGGTCACGATATTTTTTTTTTTGTGGCCAGGGTTCAGGCAGAATGAAGAGCTACATCTCCTAGGTGATAAACACAGAAAAATGTCAAAAGGCCCCCTGTGGACAGGGCCCAAGCAGAAGCCTCCCACCACCTAGGTGTTGGGCTAAGAGATACATCACAGTACCCAGAATATGCTGAGCCCAGGAAAACAAGAAGAGTCATATTACCAAGGTGCTGGGTCCAGTTATATGTCACAATGCCCCCTTCTGGCAAAGCTCAGGCAGAAAAGGAGAGTGACATAACTTAGGCAATGAATAAAAAGATAATACCCCTAAGGGCAGGGCCCATCAAGGACAGTTGCATAACCTAAGTGTTGTACCTAACCCTATGTCTCAATACACAATGTATAAAGAACCCAGGTAGGAGGGGAGGGTCACATTGCCTAGGTGTTAAGCCCAGCAATACAACAAAATCCTTTTTTTAGGCAGAGCCCTAGCAGCAGAAAAGAGTCAGATCACCTAGGTACTAGGTCCAGCAATATGTCACAATATTCCTTGAGGAAAGAGCCGAGGTAAGATAGTAACATCATCTAGGTGAAAGGCCTAGCAATATTTCACAATCTTCTCTGGAGACAGAACCCAGAAATAAGAGGAGTCACATCAGCTAGGTGCTGGGCACAGTGAAATGTTATGTTGGGTATAACTACATGAGTCACAGTCTCAGTGGTGGACTGGATCCAAGCATGAGAGCCTCAATCCATCCTGTGGACTGTGTCTTCTTAGTAGAGAGATGGCCTCACAGGTTTGCTAAATGTTGGTTTGAGAGTCACAAACCCAAATGTGAACCCAATCTATATATGAGAGTCAATTTCCCCTCTTAACTGCCTTTGGGTGTGAGATTAAGAACCTCACCAGCAGACTGTGTTTATGTGGAAGGATAGAAGTTGATGCTATTGGCTGGGTATGCATGAGTGTCACAGTCTCAGCTGTGTGCAGTGCCCAGGCAGAAAAGAAGAGTCCAATTGCCTAGGTGTAGAATTAGAGATTTTAATCTCTTTTATTAATGTCTTCTGATACTTCTATGGGCAAAGTCCATTGAGGAGAGCCACATAATCTATGTTTTGGACCCAGCCATATGTCACAATGCACAATGTATTCAGGGCCCAGGCAGAAGAGGGGAGTCAAATAACCTAGGTACCGGGCCCAGTGATACTGCAAAATACCTCCTTGGACAGGGCCTAAGCAAAGGAGGAGAGTCATATCACATCAGTGTGTGTGCAAAAATATGTCACAATACCCTCTGAGTGAATGGCTCAGTCATGAAATCCATGCCACCTAGGTGAGGGGTTCGATAACATGTTGCAATTTTTTCCGTGTGTAAGGCTTAGTAAGAAAAGAAGAGTCACATAACCTAGGGGCTGGGCCCAGCTTCATGTCACAATCACTCTATTTGGAAGAGCCAGAGAATGAGAGGAGTGTTACATCACACAGGTGCTGGGCTCAGCAATATGTCACAAATCCCGCTGTGGACAGGTCTCATGCAGAAAAGGAGAGTCACACCATCTAGCTGATAGGCCCAGAGATATGTCTTAATGACTCCTGTCAGCGAGAACCAGGCAGAAGAATCACATCACCTGTGTGCTGGTCATAAGTTACTCTCACTTCTGTCGGCACAGCTAGGCAAGAGAGGAGAGTTATATCACCTAAGTGAGGGGTCCATATATGTGTTCTAATTTTTTATTTGTGTAGGGCTCAGAAAAAAAAAAAAAGGAGAGTCACAAAACCAAGGGTTTGGGCCCAGTTATATGTCACAATCACCACAGTGGGCATAACCCCAGTATGAGAAGAAAGTTACCTCATGTAGGTGCTGGGTCTACCAATATGTCACAATCTTCACTGTGGACAGGTCCCAGGAAGAAAAGGAGTGTCATGTAATCTAGATCATGGGCCCAGAGATATGTCACAATATCTCCAGTGGGAAAAGCCCAGGCAAGAGAAGAGCACTCCATCAAATAGTCGATGGGTGTAGAGATACGTCACAGTGCTTCCTGCAGCCAGGATCCACGAAGGAGACTCACAGCACCTTGGTTCTGGGTCCACAATATGTCCCAATGCTTTCCTTTGGTAGGGCCAAGGCAGAAAACTTACATCACCTTTGTGTTCAGCCCAGCAATACGGCAAAATCTCTCCTGTGGACAGAAACTTGAAAAAAGAGAAGAGTCACATCAGCTAGGTGCTAGGCTAGTGATATGTCACAATCCCCACTGTGAACAGGGATAAAATAGGAGAAGAGAGTCATAACACCTGGGTGATTGGCATGGAGATATGTCACAATGTCCCCTATAGGTGGGACTCAGGCAGGAGAGTTAAATTGCCTTGATGTTGGACCCAGCAATATGCCCCAGTAACCCATGTGCTTGATGTTAGATCCAGCAATATGTCCCAATGACCCATGTGGGCAAGGCACAGGCTGGAGAGTCACACAACTTGGATGTGGGGGCCAGCAATATGTCACAATGCTGCCAGTGGGCCATGCTAAGAAAGGAGAGGAGACTCACATCACCTGGGTGTGAGGTCAAGCAACGTGTCACAATACTCACTGTGGGCAATACCAAGGCAGGAAAATAAAGTCACATCTCCCAGGTGCTGGGTTCAGCAATATGTCATAATACTGTCTGTGAACTGGGCCAAGGCAGGAGAGTCGAATCACTCAGGTGCTGGGGAGAGGCATATTTCACAATCACACTTGCAGAAAGATCAAGGGATTAGATTAACAATTCAATCTAGGTGATGAAAGAAAATTTATGCAATAACACTTCTGTGGGAAGAGGCCATTCAAAAGAGTCAGATCACTTCAGTGTTGACCCACCCAAATGTCACCATACACAATGTATCCAGGGTCCAGAAAAGAGAGGAGAGTTACGTTACAAATTGCTGGGTCTAATGACAATTCTTTTTTCTTTTCTTTTCTTTTCTTTTTTATTTATTTTTTTTGAACCAAGGCAGAGATTAATAGTCATATTGCATAGTTGATGGATGAAGAAACATGTCACAAGACCCCCTGTGGGCAGGACTCAGGCAGGAGCCTCCCATCCTTTAGGTGTTTTTCCCAGTAATATGTCACAATACACAAAATACAATAAACTGAGGCAAAAGAGGAGGGTCACATCACCTAGGTGCTGGGTCCAATGATATGTCACAATCTCCAATTTTGGGAGAGCAAGGGTAGAATTGTCATATCACCTAGGTGATGAATGAAAAGACACATCATAATACCCCTGTGAGCAGGGGCCATGCAAAAGAGTTGAATCACCTAGGTGTTGGACCTAGTAGTATGTCACGATAACCAACAAATGTGGATCCCAGGAAGGAGAGAACAGGTACATACCTGAGTGCTTCACTAGCAATAAATCCCACTCTCTGCCTGGAAAGAGCTCTAGTAGTATAGAAGGGTTACATTGCCTAGGTCCTGGGTCAAGTCATATGTCACAATACCACCAGAGGTGGTGGCCCAGGTAGGAGTCACAATACCTAGGTGAGGGGTCCAGAAATATGTCCCAATTTTCCCCATGGGCAAGGTTTAGGGTAAAGGAGAGTAGCATAAACTATGAAATCAGGTCTTGGGCAAAGCAATATGTCACAACAACCACTGTGGACAGGTCCCAGGAAAAAGAGGAGTGTCACATTATCAAGGTGATAGCCCCAAGGTATACAATACCTACACCTATCATGATGACCTCTGTGGGCAGGGACCAGACAGAAGTATCATATCATCTGTGTGTTGGGCCTAGAGATAAGGTCACCTTCACTTCAGTGGGCGTGTCCCAGGCAGGAGAGAACTAGGTGCTAAACCTAGAGATATGCCATAATCTTTCCTATGGGCAAATACCAGGTAAAAAAGAGAGTCACACCAAATAGTAGATGGGCCCAGAGATATGTCACAATGCCTCATGTGACCAGGGTCAAGACAGAAGACTCATATCACCTTGGTGCTTGACCCAGCATTAGTTCACAATACCTTCTAAGGGCAAAGTAGAAGAGTAATGTCACTTTAGTGATGGGCCCAGCAATATGTCACAATCTCTTCTAAGGGCAGAAATTATGAAAAAGAGAAGAATCATCTCAACTAGTTGCTGAACCAAATAATATGGCACAATACTCCCCTGTGAGCTGATATCAGGCAGAAAAGAAGTCACATAACCTGCATGATGAATGTAGAGATGTCACAATGCCCTCTCTAGGTAGAACCCAGGCAGGAGAGTTACATCACCTGAATGATGGACCCAGTCAAGTGTCGCAATGGCCCACGTGGGCAGAACACTGGCAAGACAGTCACATAAGCTGGCAGTGTGGCCCAGTAGTATGTCACAGTTCCCTCTGTGGGAAGCACCAAGGCAGGAGAGGCGAGTCGTCTTATCTAAGTGAAAGGCCCAGCAATATGTCACAATGCCTTCTGAAAGCAGGGCCAGTGCAGCAGAGTAATGTAACCTTGGTGCTGGGCAAAATGATATGTCACCATCTTCCCTGTAGGCAGAACCCAGTAAGATGCAAATAACAAAATCACCTCAGTGCTGGGCCCAGTGATAGGTCACAATTACCCCTGTGAGTGGAAACCAGACAGGAGGAGAGTCACATCACCTTGGTGATGGCTGCAGTGGTATATCACAATGTTCTATGTAGCCAGGAATCAGGCAGGAGAGTAACATCACCTGGGTTCTGAACCCAGAAATACATCACAATTGCCCACGTGGGTAGGGGACAGGCACAAGAGTCACATAAAATCCATAACAATCCCATTTGTTGGTTGGGGCAGGCAAGAGTATTAAGTCACTCAAATGCTGAGCAGAGGCATACATCACAATCACACCTGCAGGAAGCTCCAGGAATAAGATTAACAATCTATCTTGCACATGCCCTAGTTCTAGGTATAAGAGGCACTGTCTCCTGAATGTTAAGTCTATGTGCATGAGCCACAGTCGCAATGGTGAACTGGATCTCTGCATGAGGGCCTCAATCCTTCCTATGGACTGTGTCTCTGTAGTGAAGTCACAGCCTTTATAGGTATGCTGAACCTTGATTTGAGAGTCACCAGCCTACCTGTAGACCAGATCCACATATAAGTAAGAGTTCATTTTCCAACTTTTACCTGCCTCCTGGTGTGAGATTCAGAGCCTCCACAGTGGGCTATGTCTATGGGGAAGAATGACATCTTTTCTGTCAGCTGGGTATGAATACAAGTGTCACTATCTCATATATGTGCTGTTCCCTGTTATGACACACTCTGTACCACCCAAGAGCTTTATACAGTATGCATGAGAGTCACAATTTACTCTAGAATCTTCGTGCTGGTATGGAAACATTATTCTACCTGTGGCCCTAAGCCCAAGTATTAGAGTCAACATCTCCTTAATTGGCTGGGTCCAGATAGGAGAGTTTTTACCTGCCTACAAGCTGGGTTGATAAATGAGTCACCATCCAAACTGTGGCCAGATGTTCACATATGGCTGTCAGAATTCCAACTATGAACTGCATTCATGTGTGAGATTTAGGAACTCACCAGGAGGCTCTATGTGTGAGAGTGACACGCCTAACAGTTGTAAGGGTGTCCATATGAGAAACAATATCTCTCTTGTGTCCTGGGCCCTGTAATGACACTCCTTGTACCACTGCAGGGCTTTACACCATATGTGAGAAAGTGATGATTTTCTATGAGCTCTCTACAAAAAGGACTAAGCCTAGCTGTAAGAGATGGTGTCTCTCTCTCTTTTAAAAGAAATAAATAATAATTTTTTAAGTTATTGGGTACACGTGCAGAGTGTGCAGTTTTGTTACACAGGTAAATGTTGTCATGGTGATTTGCTGCACTTATCGACCCATAACCTAGATATTAAGCCCAGCATCCATTAGCCATTTTTCCTGATTTTCTCCCTCCATCTGCTTCACCAGACAGGTTCTAGTGTGTGTTGTTCCCTACTGGTGTCTATGTGTTCACATGGCTCATTTCCCAGTTATAAATGAGAACACGTGGTGTTTGGTTTACGGTGCCTGTATTAGTTTGCTGGGGATAAGAGCTTCCAGCTCCATTTATGTCTCTGCAAAGAAAATGACCCTGTTCTTTTTCACGGCTGCATAGTATTCCATGGTGTATATGTACATTTTCTTTATCCAGTCTATCATTGATAGGCATTTGGATTGATTCCATGTCTTTGCTATTGTGAATAGTGCTGCAATGAACATACACATGCATGTATCTTTGTAATAAAATAATTTATATTCCTTTGGGTATATACCTAGTAATGGGATTGTGGGGTCAAATGGTATTTCTGGTTCTAGGTCTTTAAGAAATTGTCAAAGTGTCTTCCACAATGATTGAACTAATTTACATTCCCACAGTGTAAAAACATTCCCATTTATCTGCAGCCTTGCTAACATCTGTTGTTTCTTGACTTTTTAATAAGTGCCATTCTGACTGGTGTGAGATGGCATCTCATTGTGGTTTGATTTGCATTTCTCTAATGATCAGTGATGTTAAGCTTTTTAAAAAATGTTTTTTGGCCACATAAATGTCTTCTTCTGAGAAGTCTCTGTTCATGTCCTTTGCCTAATTATTGATGGAGTTTCTTTTTAAAAAAAAATGTGTTTAAGTTTCTTCTAGATTCTGGATATTAGACGGTCACATGGATAGATTACAAAACCCTTCTCCCATTCTGTAGGTTGCCTGTTCACCTGACAATAGTTCGTTTTTCTGTGCAGAAGCTCTTTAGTTTAATTAGATCCCATTTGTCATTGTTTACTTTTGTTGAAATTGCTTTTGATGTTTTTATCATAAAATCTTTGCCCATGTCTATGTCCTGAATGGTATTGCCTAGATTTTCTTCTAGGATTTTTATAGTTTTGGGTTTTACACTTAAGTCTTTAATCTATCTTGAGTTAATTTTTGTATAAGGTGTAAAGAAGGGGTCAAGTTTCAATTATATGCTTATGGCTAGCCAGTTCTCCCAGAACCACTTATTAAATAAGTAATCCTTTCCCCATTGCTTGTTTGTTTAAGTCTGTCAAAGATCAGATGGTTATAATGTGCTGTCTTATTTCCGAGTTTTCTTTTCTGGTTTCATTGGCCTATGTGTCTGTGTTTCTACCACTACCATGCTGTTTTGGTTATGAGAGACAGTGTCTCTTTTATTGGCTGGTTCAAGGTAACAGAGTCATCACCGCAGCTGTGAACTGGGCCAAAGTGTATTTCACAGTCTTACCTGTGAATTGGGAGCATGCAGAAGGGTCACATCAGCTGGGTGCTAGGCCAGGAATATTTCACAATGCTCCCTTTGGGCAAGAACCAAGCAAGAGAGTAACATCACTCAGTTTCTGGGCCCAGCAATATGTCACAATTTTCTCTGTGGGCAGAGTGCAGGCTGAAGAGAAGAGCCATATTTCCTAGGTGATAGATGGAGAGATATGTCACAAGGTCCCCTGTGGTAAGGGCTCAGGCAATATCTTTCTATCTCCTAGGTTTTGGGCCCAGTGATATGTCACAAATACTCAAAACATGCAAGGCCAAGCCTAAAGAGGAAAGTCACATCACCTAAGTGCTGGGGCCAGCCACATATCACAATACATAATGTATTCAGGGCCCAGGCAAGAGGCAAGAATCACATCACCTAGGTGCTGGGCTCAGAAATACATCACAATTCTTAGGCAGACCCAAGTAGATGAGTAGGTTTATATCACCTATTGCTGGAACCAGCAATATGTCATAATACCTTTTGAGGAAGCGGTTTGGGCAGGAGAGTCACATTACCTTGGTGAGGGGCTCAGAGATACGTCACAATATTCCCTTTGGATAGGGCTTAGAAAGAAAAGTTACATAACCTAAAGATTATGCCCAGCTCTATGTCATCATCGGCCCAGAGGGCAGGGCTCATGCGTGAGAGAAGAATCACATCACATAGCTGCTGGGCAAAGCAATGTGTGACAATCCCCAATGTGGTCAGGTTTAAGAAAAAAGAGGAGAGTCATATTATTTAGGTGATGAGCCCAATAATTCCTGTGGGCACAGGCCAGGCAGAAGAGTCACATCATGTGTTTGCTGGGCACAGTGATAAGTCACTTTCATTTCTGTAGGCATGGCACAGGCAGGAGAAGAGTGCCAGCATCTCAGTGCTGGGCCTAGAGGTATATCACAACTTTTCTTATGGGCAAAGTTCAGGTAATAGAGGAGAGCCACATCAAATAGGCAATGGGTCCTTAGGTATGTTACAATAGCTCCGAAACAGGATCCAGGGAGAAGGCTCACATCACCTTGGTACTGGGTCCAGCAATATGTCACAATGCTTTCTGAGGTCAAGGCCGAGACAAACGAGCAATGTCACTTTGATGTTGAGCCCAATGATATGTCACAATGTCCTCTGTAGGCAGAATCTAGGAAGAAGAGGAGTCACATCAGTGAGGTGCTAGGCTCAGTGATATGTTACAATTCCACTTGTAAGTAGAAACCATGCAAATAAAGAGAGTCTCATTACCTGGGCCATGGTGGAAAGATACGTCACAATGCCTTCTGTAGGCAGAGCACAGGCTGGGGGATTAAATCCCCCACAGGGGCCCGGTGGCCCTGTGAAGAGAAGAGAGTCATATAACCTAAGTGTGAAGAACAGTCATATGTCAAAATTCTCCCTGTAGGCAAAACTAAGGCAAGAGAATAAATTCACATCAATTAAGTGCTGGGTGCAGCAATACATCACCATTCAATTTGTCGGCTGAGCCCAAGCAGGAGAGTAAAATTGCTCAAGTGCTAGGCTGAAGTGTATGTCACAATCGCAGCTGCAGAAAGGTCCAGGCATGAAATTAAGAATCCTGCACATGTCCAGGTTCCAGGAATGACAGGCACCACCTCCTGTATGTTAAGTCTAAGTGTATGACCCACAGTCTCAACACTTTACTGAATCCATCCACAAGAGCTTCAATCCCTCCTGCAGACTATGTCCTTTTAATGGAGTCAAAGCCTCACAGATATGCTTGATCTTGTTCTGAAGGTCACCTACCCACCTATGAACCAAAGCCATGTATGAGTTAATTTTTCAACTTCAACTTTTTTTAGATGTGAGATTCAGAACTTCAACAGTGGCCTGTGTTCATGTAGAAGAATGACAATTTTACTGTTGGCTGGGAGGGTGTATATATAAGTATCATAATCTCACCTGTATTCCATGCTTTGTTAGGACACCCTCTGTAACACCTGAGGGCTTTATACAATATACATTAAAGTCACAATCTGCTCTAAGACTTTTGTGTTTATATGAACCCATGATTCTACCTGTAGCCCAAAACTCAAATAAGAGAGTAAACATCTCTCCAATTCAATGTGTCTACATAGAACAGATCTAACCTGCCAGAATTAGAAATGAGTTGCCATTTCAACTGTAGCTGGATGTTTACATGTGACAATCACAGTCCAAACTGTGAGCTGTGTCAACATGTGAGAATAAGGACCTCCCCAGTGGGCACTGTCTATGTGTGTGAGGGTGACAATATTAACAGTTTGTGGGGTGTACATATGAGAAACATAACCTCACTTATTTAGTGTGCCCTGTGATGACACTCTCTGTACCACTTGAGGGCTTTATATGATATGTAAGAGTGGTAACTTTTTATGACCTTCATACAAAGAGGAGACTTATCATCTTACTTTATTTCCTAAGTCTAGCTATGTAAGACAGTATCTCTTCTATTGGCTGGTTTGAAGTATGAGAGTAATCAATACACCTGTGAGCTGGCTAAAATGTATGTCACAAACCCACTTGTGGGTTGTGAGAAGAATCATACCATGTAGGTTTTTGGCCAAGGATATGTCACAGTCTTCCCTTAGGGCAGAAATCAAGCAGGAGAGTCATATCACCTAGGTGCTCAGCCTGACAGATATGTTACAATCCTCTCCTGAAAGCAGAGCACACGCAGCAGTCATAGTGAAGTGGCTTCATTGTCTGGGGAAACACCCGAAGTTTGTTGTCCTGCTCTGAGAAGAGTAATGACTCGAACACACACACGGAATGAGTTTAAGGAGCAGAAAGTTTAATACACAAAAGACAGGAGAGAGGGAGAGAGCTTCCTCCTGTCGAGAAAGTGGGTCACCATAGCAGGTTTCCAGGTTTGGAGCAGAATGTGATCAATTTTATAGAGAGGCTTGAGGAGGTGGTGATTGATTTATATATGGCCCAGGAAATTGGTTTGACCAGGTGTGGCATTTACTTAGCACACGAGGAAACGGGCCCTCCCACACTAATCTTATTATGCAAATGTGGCCTCTACCTGGCCGGTACCATGACACCCACACACGGTGACAAAGTAAAGGGAGAGGGAATCACCATTTTGAGTGTACTTGGCTTTTAGTACAGCTGCCCGCATTTACATATGCAAACTTCCAGCTTGCTTATCTATGCTTGCAGTTTGACTTTTCAGGCTGCTTTCTTTTAGAAAAGAAATGGTTTTTTGGTTGCTTTTCATTGAAGGAAAATTCCACCGAGAACTCTTGTACCCTTGTTAACTGCCTAAAATAATTTTTTTTAACTCCTATATTATTCACCCCTCAGAAGATGGTATTCTAACTGCTATTGGGGGTGTTGGACAACGAATCTTTCTGGCTACTTCCTGCTGAAAAGGGGTGTCGTGTGGGGGAACAGCAGCTGAGACTCCTCCTGAGGTTTATTTAAGTGTTCTCGGAAGAATGACATGTCCACAGGTGGTTCTGTTTGCAGCGCCATTTGGAGTTTTCTTCTAGGTAAAAAGAGATAAATTTTACAAGAAGTTTTAGAATATAGGGTTTTAACATGAGTATTAAGATTATTATTATTAGTGAGAGTATTATAGGTCATAACTATGACAGTAGAGTTTGATACCTGTTATTTCAATAGATTTGTAATAGGGGTAGGCCTCCACTAGATGTTGCTATACATTACCAGAAACATTAATATAAAAGTAACATTTTTCTTTGAGAAACACATACATTTATCCCCTTGGCTTGCCATCAGGAGATAATTTTAGGTTCAGGCAATTTTTTATAACTTGCAATATGATTGAGAGAAATACACTATTCAGTGGCTAAAGTAACTTGTGTTAATCTAGGCAATTTCTCTCCTTTATTAAGTTCATTCATGACTTCCACAGATTATCTTACAACATTCTTAAACTTTCTGACTTGTCTTAAATATCCTTCCTTTTAAAACCAGACTTTTTAGGGTAAGAATTTACCATACAAGCCTTGCTTATAAAATCTCTCTTATTTATAACCTTCTTTCCATAGCTTAGAGTGCATCATATTGCCAATCATTAATAAAAAGTCGTATCAAGCTCAGTGATTGTATAACTTTCCTGCTTATTTCTTGTCTGTAACTATTACCCTTGCTATGAGGATAATAATTAAGCAAAGCAACCTTGACTAAATTTTTTCTACAATTATTCAATTATTATTCCTTTTATAAAAATGATAATTAGGCTAAGTATTATGGCAATTCAAATTTTGCAAGTAGAATTCCACACTGTGAGTGCCATAGTGTATAGTTCTACTACAAATAGAGTGAGTTTAGCAGCTCCCACAAGAGTGATGTAGTAGATAATTTTTATTTATAAATTTTATTCATCAAGATATAGAATTTCCCTTTGGGGTTCTATGAAGTTATGAATGCAATCCTATGAATACTTAAAATTCTCTTGTAAATATGTGTTAAAAGAGAAGTTTTAATAGTTGATGGCAATCTTGGAGAGGAAAAACAGAAATGACAAAAAGTATCTGATGAGGTAGCAGTGAGTAAGATGAGTAGCCCTCAGTTACTTATCTTTTATGATTTTCAGCTTAAGATTTTCTGTTTCTTCACACTGATATTCAGGACATTCCTCTGGGCTTGTAAGGGGTTGCTCCCTCAGTTCTTCAGGCCTTGACTTGAGTGTGATGTATCCAAGAGTTGATATCTGTAATTTTTCTTTTTTTTTCTGAGATGGAGTCTTGCTCTGTCACCCAGGCTGAAGTGTAGTGGTGTGATCTTGGCTCACTGCAACCTCAGCCTCCTGGGTTCAAGTGTTTCTCCTGCCTCAGCCTCCCGAGTAGCTGAAATCACAGCCCCGCACCATGCAGCCCAGCTAATTTTTGTATTTTTAGTAGAGATGAGGTTTCACCATGTTGGCCAGGCTGGTCTCAAACTCCTGGCCTCAGGTTATTCGCCCACCTTGGCCTCCCAAAGTGCTGGGATTACAGTTATGAACCACCACGCCCAGCAGATACCTGTAATTTTATTGCCAAGGGAAGAGGGGGTTGAAAAAAGAACAGTGTAGGGCCCTTCCCAGCTTGGGCTTAAGGAAAGAGAGAGAGAGGTGTGAGATTTACTAATAGCAAATCTCCTGGGTTAAATAAAGGTGGTCCTATTTCTTGGGGTTAGGCTACTGCTAGTTCTGTTAATTTTTGTTGGAAGTGAGCTAGAGAGGTTACATACTTAACCAAATTAAGTTTTCTGTTTTAATAGAAAAATCATTGGTAAGAAAAGGCCATTTATAGAGCTTAGACCTAATTTTGTTTTTGTTTGGTTGTTTGAGACAGAGTCCCGCTCCGTCTCCCAGGCTGGAGTGCAGTGGCGCGATCTCGGCTCACTGCAAGCTCCGCATCCTGGGTTCACGTCATTCTCCCACCTCAACCTCCTGAGTAGCTGGAACTATAGGTGCCCACCACCATGCCCAGCTTATTTTGTTTCCGTATTTTTAATAGAGATGGGGTTTCAACGTATTAGCCAGGATGGTCTCGATCTCCTGACCTTGGGATCCACCTGCCTCAGGCTCCCAAAGTGCTAGGATTACAGGGCTGAGCCACCATGCCCGGCCTAGACCTAACTTGGAAGGCATATTTCTTATCCAAAGTAAGGCCATGGGAAGAGTGACAAGTTTTTTGAGGTGTCTCTTGATAATATTATTTGTTCTCTACCTTTACTGAGAATCGGGGTTTTTAAGCACAATGGAGACGATATTCTATGCTTAGCACATTTGAGACCCCCATGTGACAGCTGCCTTAAATGAGGGGCCATTGTCACTTTGAAGGTATTTAGGTAGACCAAAGCAGGGAGTTTGTTTGTTTGTTTTATCTTTTTCTGAGACAGAGTCTCGCTTTGTCACCCAGGTTGGAGTGCAGTGGTGCAATCTCAGCTCACTGCAACCTCTGCCTCCCAGGTTCAAGCAATTCTCCTGCTTCAGCCTCCTGAATAGCTACAGGTGTGCACCACCACGCCTAATTTTTTTGTATTTTTAGAAATGACGAGGTTTCACCATGTTGGCCAGGCTGGTCTCAAACTTCTGAACTCATGATCTGCTCGCCTCGGCCTCCCAAAGTGCTGGGACTACAGGCCTGAGCCACCGCGCCTGGCTGGAGTTATTTTATTAATTAACACTTTTGTTACCTTAGAGACCTTTGGGCATGGAAATGCTTCCACCCAGTTAGCAAAAGTATATACCCATAACAGAAGGTATTGGATACCCTTTGTCTTTGGCATGTGGGTGAAGTCTATCTGCCAGTCCTCCCCTGGATAGCTTCCTATTTGGGGGGTTTTAGGAGGAAGGAGCCACCTGTTCAGGGAATTATTTTTAAGACAGACTTCATGGGAATTAGCAACCTGTTTGACTGTTTTTAGTAAGTTCTCTCCTGAAAACAATTAAAGGAAGGAAGGTAATCCAAACAGTCATTAAAAAATATGATTAGTATGGCTACTGTTCTTGAAGACTCAAATGTGAGGCTTACTGGGGAGAGGATGAACCCCCCGCAATACACACATTGGTCATGCTTTAAACCAGTTTTCTTTCATGGAGGACCTAGTCATTACATGGGGCTGAGAGAGGTTTTGGAGCAACTGAAAATTTCAGGCCAGGGCACACCCTGGTGTTATCCAAAGTCTTCTGGACTAAAGCCAGCCTCTAACCACCCATCCAGGTGTTAGCAAAGAGAATCTCCAGCTATCCTGTTGCAAAATTTCTCCTTTTCTATCTGTAGTCACCATGTCTTTTATCTTTTCTGTGTATGCAATGTGCGGGAATTTTTACAATTCAGGGAAACAGTTCTGTTAGGAAACATCGGCAAATACCATAGTAACCCAATAAGCATCTCTCTCTACACAGCCTCTGGTGAGCACATGGTATTTCTAAGCCAACAGCACCCCCTAGTGGAAATAGAAATTCTCTCCATGAGGCACATTGTCACCCTTCTGCAATACACTGTAGCTTCCCAATTCTCTTTTTGCACCACTAAAAATCAGGCTCTATGCCCTTCTGTGAGTGAGAAAATGCTGCCTTTAACAATTAAGAGTAAAATGTCCTCCATAGCCAAATTTTAGTTTGAATACTGTCCTATCAGCAGAAAAATGCCATTAGGTCCCTACTGTTCTTTAAGGCACCTATTCTGTCTTTAACTAAAATAGTACTTAATTAGTAAGGGGACTTTACATCCAAAAGTTAACCAGAATCATTTTCTAAGGGTAAATGATTTAGCACGGGGCATAAGAGTAGAATACAGAGTTCCATCTAGCACAATCCCTCCATTAAATTAGCCTTACCCAAAGGCAACTATTACATACTCTTTCCCGAAATCCATTTTTTGGGGTGGCACACAGATCACACAAGTCTAGAAAGTCAAAGGGAAATCACAAGTGGACAAATAAGGCTATGTGGGTAATTGTGGCTAAAACCATCACCTAGTTCATCTGGTTTCATGGCTTGGAGAGGTCACACCCGCAACCATGAGTGACACATTTAACATGGTACCAGGAACCAAGGAGAGAAAAGAGTAGAGGTGACACTCCAACTGTTTTCCCCTTCACCCTTGGTCATACCCAAAAAAAGGGAGACTAAAAGGACTCTTTTATTCTCACTTTTTCTAGATGGGCAACAGACCAACTTCAGCTTGCACCCTTCTAGAGTGCATTCTATAACACTGGAACTTCTTTAACCTTGGGACTTTGAAGAATAAAGCAACTCATTTTCTTTTGCACAAGGGCATGGCATTTATACTAAACCTTTGCAAGCGTTGTAAGATCAACCCAGCTTTTTTAAAAGTCATATCAGGCAGGCTTATAGAAAATTATTCACCAGAACTAGAAAAGCAAATTGCAGGGAAGCATCTGAGAATCCCCCTTATTGAGAGCCACCTCAAGTTCTCTTAATACAAGACCTTAGCCAAATAAAGGAAGACATAGGCTGATTTTCTGATGACCCCCAATAAGTATATAGAAGCTTTCCAAAATTTAACTAAGGTGTTTCACCTTACATGGAAGGATGTTACGCTGCTCCTAAACCAAACCCTAACTGCAGCTGAAAAGCAGGCAGCTCTACAGGAAGCAGGGAATTTCAGAAATGAACAATATGTAGCCTACAATGCACTCAGGTATGAGAGGAGAGTCACATCACATAGGAGCTGAGCCAAGCAATATGTAGCAAATCTCCACTGCAGACAAGTCTGAAAAAATGAAGGGTCACATCAACTAGGTGATGAAATCAGAAATATAGCAAAATGATTCCTGTGGGCAAAGACCGAGCAGAAGAAATTACACCATGTATGTGATAAGCTTAGTAATACATCACTCTCTCTTCCTTAGGCATGATTCAAGCAAAAGAAAAGTCACATTACCTAGCTGTTAGGCCCAGAGTTATGTCACAATCTCTATTATAACAGAAGCTCAGGTAAGAGTCACATCAAATAGATGACGGTCCCAGAGGTATGTCACAATGCCTCTTGTTAGCAGGGTACAGGCATACCAACTCACATCACCTCGGTGCTGAGTTCAGCAATATGTCACAATGCTTTCTGAGAGCAAGGCCAAAGCAAAAGGGCAACATCACCTTGTTGTTGGGCCCAGTGATATGTCACAATGTTCCTTGTGGGCAAAACCTAGAAAGAGTCACATCAGCTAGGTGCTGGGCCTAGCAATGTTTTGATACACCCTGTAAGGAGAAACCAGGCAGAAACAGTCTTATTACCTGTGTGATGAGCAGAAAGATATGTCACAATGCTCTCTGTAAGCAGAGCCTAGGCAAGAGTTATATCACCTGGGTGTGGACCCAGCAATATGTCACAACAGCCCATGTGGGCAAGGCACAGGCAGGAGAGCCACATAACCTGGGTGGTGGGTGCAGCAATATGTCACAGGGTTCCCTGTGGGCAGTGCCAAGGCAGGAGAATAGATTTACATTAGTTAGGTCCTGGGTTCAGCAATGTTTCAATCCAATCTGTGGACTGAGCCCAGGCAGAAGAGTTGAATCACTCAGGTGCTGGGCAGAGGCATATGTCACAATCACAGCTGCAGGAATGTTCATAAATGAGATTAACAATCCTGCACATGTCCAGATTCCAGGTATGAGAATCAACACCTCTTTTATGTTGGGCCTAAGTACATGATTCACAATCTCAACAGTGGACTAGATCCATGGGCAAGAGCCTCAATTCCTCTCATAGACTGTTTTCTTAGTGGAGTCACAGTCTTTCAGGTATAGTGAATCTTGGTCTGAGAGTCAATAACCCACCTGTGGACTGAAATAAACAATGTTCAACTTTTGGCACTTTTTTGATTGTGGGATTCAGAATCTCAACAATGGGTTGTGTTCATGTGGGAGGGTGACAATCATTACTGTTGGCTGGGTATGCTTATGAGTGTCACAATCTCACCTGTGTCCTGAGGTTTTTTAGAACATTCTCTGTCCTACTTGAGGGCTATGTACTGGGAGTTACAATCTTGTGTGAGACCTTCATGCTGGTATGGACCCATAATTGTACCTGTGGCCCTAAGCCCAGGTATGAGAGTCAACATGTCTCCAACTGGCTGAGTCCAGATAGAAGATGCCTTACCTGCCTGTGAGCTGGGTTTAGAAATGTTTCACCATTTCAACTCTGGCTGAATGTTCACATATGACAGTCACAATTTCAACTATGGACTGTGTTTGAGATTAAGAACCTCATCAGTGAGCTCCATCCTTGTGGGAGGGTGACAATACTAAGGGTTTTTAGGTGAGCATATGAGAAACACAACGTTACCTGTGTGCTAGGCTCTGCAATGACACTTTCTGTACCATTCAAGACTTTTACACAATATGCAAGTGGCATTTATAATCTTTATAAAGAGGAGGCCCGTGAACTCACCTATTTGCCTAAGCCTTGCTAAGAGACACAGGATCTCTGCTATTGGCTGGTTTAAGGTATAAGACTTATTATGCCATCTGTGAGCTGGGCCAAGATAAATGTGACAATTACACCGGTGGATAGGGAATAAGTAGAGTCACATAACCTGTTTTTTTGGAGCCAGGAATATGCCATAATCTTCCTGGAGGCCAGGGACTAGGCATCACCTGTTTGCTGGGTCCGGGAATATATCACACTGCTTTCTGTCAGCCAGGCCCAGGCAGGAGAGACACATCACCTGGTTGCTAAGCCCAGTAATATGTCACAATTTTCTTTGTGGGCAAGGTGCAGGCAGAAGAGGAGAGACACATTTCCTAGGTGATGGATAAAGAGATATGTCACAAGGCCCCATGTGAGCAGGGCCCAGGTGGTACTCCCATTCCCTACATGTTGAGCCCAGCGATATGTCAGAATACCCAAATACACAGGGTCCAGACAATAGAAAAATGTCACATTAGCTAGGTACTGGCCCAGCGATACACCACAATTTTTTTATTTTTTGCCAGAACCTAAGCAGTAGAGGAGAGTCACATCACCTAGTTTCTGGGTCCAGCGATATGTCACAGGACATGGCCCAGGCAAAAAAGTAAAATTATTTATGTGAAAGACCCAGAGATATGCTACATTGTCCTCTGTGTGTAGGGCTAAGAGAAGAAAAGTATTACATAACCTAGGTGCTCATGCCACCTGTTTCACAATCACCCCAAGTGGCAGGGCCCAGTCATGACGGTCACATCACATAGGTTCTGGACCAAGTGATATGTCACAATATTCTCTCTGTACAGTTTACAGGAAGACAGTCACATAATCTAGCTGATGGGCTTAGAGATATGTCAAAATAACCCCTGTGGGCAGGGACCAGACAGAAGGATTACCTCACCTGTGTGCTGGGTTTGGCAATAAGCCATCTTTCTTCTGTGGGTATGACCCTGTCAGAAGAGAGTCACATCACCTAGGTTTTGGTGCCAGAACTATGTCACATTTCTTCTTATGGGCAAAGCCCAGGTAAGATGGGAGAGTCCCATCAAAGAGTTGATGAAGTCAGAAATATGTCACAATGCCCTCTGTGAGCAAGGCTCAGGCAGGAGACTCCCATCACCTGGGTGCTGGGCCCAGCAATATGTCACAATGTCTTCTGAAAGTAGGGCAAAGGCAACATTAATGTCACCTTAGTGTAGCGCAAAGTGAAATGTCACATCTTCATGTGGGTGGGCCTTAGAAAGATGGGAAGAGTCCCATCAGCTAGGTGCTGTACCCAGCAATAGGCAAAAATATCCCATCTGAACAGAAACCAGACAGGAGTCATATTAGCTGGGTGATGAGTGCAGAGACACATCACAATGCTCGTGTAGGCAAGGCCAAGGCTGAAGAGTTACATTACATGGGTGTTACACTAAGCAGTATGTCACAATGGCCCAGGTGGGCAGGGAAAAAATAGGAGAATCACATAAGCTGAGTTTTGAGCCCAGGGACACCCCAGTGTCCCCTATAGGCAGAGACATTAAAGAAATGGTGACTTACATCACTTGGATGCAAGGCCCAGGGATATTCCACCATCTCCCCTGTGGGCAGCACCAAGGCAGGAGTATGGAGTCACATGTGCTGGGTTCAGTGATATGTCACAATTGCACCTATGGACTGGGCCCAGACTTGAGAGTCAAATCACTCAAGTACTGAGCAGAGACATATGCTACAATCACACCTGCAGGATGGTTTAGAGATTAGATTAACAATCTCACACATGTCCCAGTTCTAAATCTGAGAGTCAACACCTCCTGTATGTTGGATCTAATTACAAGAGTCACAATCTCAATGGTGCACTCAACTTGTTTATGAGAGTCTGAGGTTTTCCTTCAGACTATGTACCCTTACTGGAGTCACAAGACTCACAGATGTGCTAAATACTGTGAACTGAATCCACATATAAGAGTCAAGTTTCCAGGCTGGGGGTGGTGCCTCATGTCTATAATCCCAGCACTTTGGGAGGTCAAGGCAGGACTTGAGGCCAGGAGTTTGAGAGCAGTCTGGGCAACATGGTGAAACCCTGTCTGTAGTAAACATACAAAAATTAGCTGGGTGTGGTGGCACATGCCTGTAATTCCAGCCACTCAGGAGGTTGAGGCACGAGAATTGCTTGAACCCAGAAAGTGGAGGTTGCAGGAGCTGAGAGTGCACCACAGCACTCCAGCCTGTGTGTCAGAGTGAGTGAAACTCTTAAAAAAAAAAAAAAAAAAAGTCAAATTTCCAACTTTTGACTGTTTTCATGATAGAGACTCAGGACCTCAACAGTGTGCTGTGTTCATGTGTAAAGACAACAATTTTTACTGTTGGCTGGGTGTGTATATGAGTGTCACAATTTTGCCTGTGTTCTAGGCTCTCTCAGTACCACACGAGAGCTTTCTACAGTATTAACGAGAGTTGCAAACCACTCTATGACCTTCATGATGGTATACACCCATGATTGTACCTGTGTCTCTAAGCCCAGGTATGAGAGTCAGCATCTCTATCACTGGCTGGTTCCACATAAAAGAGGACAGGCATGGAGGCTCATGCCTGTAATCCCAGCACTTTGGGAGGCCGAGGCAGGTGGATCACTTGAGGTCGGGAGTCCGAGACCAGCCTGGCCAACATGGTGAAACCCCATCTCTACTAAAAATACAAAAATTAGCCCGGTGCGGTGGGGCACATCTGTAATCCCAGCTACCCAGGAAGCTGAGGCAGGAGAATCAATTAAAGCCGGGAGGTGGAGGTTGCAGTGAGCCGTTATTGAACTACTATACATCAGCCTGGGTGACAGAGTGAGATTTTGTCTCCAAAAAAATAAAATAAATAAAATAAAAATGAAAAATAAGAGTCCTCACCTGCCTCGGAGCTAGATTAGAAATGAGTCACCACCCCAACTACAGCCAGATGTTCACAAATAACAGTCACAATTTCAACTCCATGCACATGTGAGATTCAAGACCTTACCAGTAGGCTCTGTCCATGTGTGAGGGCAAAATCCTAATGGCTGATAGAGTGTGCATATGAAAAACACAATCTCACCTGTGTCCTGGGTCCTGTGATGAGACTGTCTGTACCACCTGAAAAAGTTATATATGTGAGAGACTGGTAATCCACTATGATATTCATACAGAGGAGATCCAGGATCTTACTCATTTCCCTAAGTCTAGCTTCAAGAAACAGTATCGGCCGGGCGCGGTGGCTCAAGCCTGTAATCTCAGCACTTTGGGAGGCCGAGACGGGCGGATCACGAGGTCAGGAGATCGAGACCATCCTGGCTAACACAGTGAAACCCCGTCTCTACTAAAAAAATACAAAAAACTAGCCGGGCGAGGTGGCGGGCGCCTGTAGTCCCAGCTACTCGGGAGGCTGAGGCAGGAGAATGGCGTAGACCCGGGAGGCGGAGCTTGCAGTGAGCTGAGATCCGGCCACTGTACTCCAGCCTGGGCAACAGAGCGAGACTCCGTCTCCAAAAAAAAAAAAAAAAAAGAAACAGTATCTCTCCTATTGGCTGGTTTGAGGCATGAGAGTTATCATCTCACCCATGAGCTGAACAAGGATATATTTTACAATCCCACCTGTTGATAGAGAGTAAGCAGGAGCGTGACATCACCTGGGCACTAGGCCAGGAATATGTCACAATTTTCCCTGATGGCAGGAACCAGTCAGAAGAGTAACATCAGCTGGGTGATCAGCCAGGGATATGTTACAATCCTGTTCTGAAAGCAGGGCACAGGCAGCAGAGTCACAGCATCTGGGTGCTGAGCCCAGAGACATGTCACAATGCTCCCTGGGAGCAAGGCCCAGGAAAAGGAAGCACATCACCCTGTTGCCGAGTCAATGTTATTGTCACATTCTCCCCTGTGGGCCAGGTGCAGGCTGTAGAGGAGTCACATCTCCTTGGTGAGGAATACAGAGATATGTCACCAGGGTCTTGAGAGTCATAGGGCTAGAGCCCTGTTTGCAGGGCATAGGCATGTACCTCCCAAATTCTACATGTTTGGCCCAGTGATATGTCACAGTACTCATATGTGGGACCCATGAAAGAGGAGAGTCACATCACCTAGGTGCTAGGTCCAGCGATACATCACCATCCTACATGTTGGCAGAGACCAGGCAGAAGGAGAAGGCCACATCACCTAAATCATGAATGTAAAAATGTATCATAATACCCTTTGGGCAGGACCCATGCAGGAGAGTCACCTTGCTTAGGTATTGGACCCAGCCATATGTCACATGCAGTGTGACAGTAGGTAGCTAGTCTGGTATAAGCAGGGCAAGAAAGGGCGCCCCACTCCACACACACCAGAAATGTCAGGTGGCAATCAGGTAATGGCCAGGCAGTTAACTGTCTCGCTAAAGTAATAACTGGTGACAGCTGTTGCCAGGGAACAGCAGTCTCCTAATAGAAAACACCTAAAACTGGTCATCAGTAGCTTCCCAGTGAGATATCAGGAGTTGGGTGGGTTAGGAGAACTAATGCAAGACCCTAGAAGTATGCCAACACATAAAATCCCAAGAGAAGAGAGTCACATCATGACAGTAATGGCAACAGAGATATGACACACAATGACCCTGTAGGCAGGGCCAAGGCAGGAGAGTTACATCAACTGGGTGTTGGACCAAGTAAAATGTTACAACGGCGCCTGTGGGCAGGGCACAGGCAGGAGAGTCACATAACCCGGGTGTGCTGCCCAGCAATGTGTCACAATGTCCCCTATGGAAAGCACCAAGGCAGTAGAGGAGACTCACATCACTTGGGTGCAAGGTCCAGCAATCTGTCAAGATGCTCCTGTGGGAAGTACCAAGGAAAAAGAACAGAGTCACATCACCTAGGTTGGGGTTCAGCAGTACGTCACAATTTCCATCTGCGGGCTGGGTGCAGGCAAGAGTCTAATCATTCAGGTGCTGAGAAGAGGCATATGTCATAATCACACTTGCAAAAAGGTCTAGGGATGAGATTAACAATCTTGTACATGTCCTAGTTCTTGGTAAGATTCAACATCCCCTGTATTTTCTTTCTAAGTATACAAGTCACAATATTAACAGTGGATAGATTCGTGCATGAGAGCCTTGATCTCCCCTGTGGACTGCGTACCTGTAGCAGAGTCACAGCCTCACAAATGTGCTAAATCTTGGTCCTGAGTCACTCATCATTCTGTGAATGGAATTTATGTAGGGGAGTCAATTTCCCAACTTTCCACCACCTTCAGATGTGATATTCAGAACCCGAGCAATGAACTGTGTTTATAAAAGATGACAAACTTTACAATTGGCTGGGTATGTATACAAGTAACACAATCTGACCTGTGTGCTGGGCCCTGTTAAAAACACACTCTGTACCACCCAAGGGCTTTAGAATGTGGCAATCTGTTGGCCAGGTGCGGTGGCTCACACCTGTAATCCCAGCACTTTGGGAGGCCAAGGCAGGTAGATCACGAGGTCAGGAGTTCAAGATCAGCCTGGCCAAGATGGTGAAAGTCCATCTTACTAAAAATACAAAAATTAGCTGGGTGTGGTGGTACACGCCTGTAGTCCCAGCTACTCAGGAGGCTGAGGCAGAAGAATTGCTTGAACCCAGGAGGCAGTGGTTTCAGTGAGCTGAGATGACACCACTATATTCCAGCCTCTCGAGAGAGAGACTGTCTTGAAAAAATAGTAATAACAAAACAAAAAAATAAATTTGGTATGAGACCTTCATGCTGGTATGGACCCATGATTGTACCTGTGGACCTAAGAGCAAGTAGAAGAGCTAACATTTCTTCAATTGGCTGGGTTCAGATATGAGAGTTCTCACCTACCTATGAGCTGGGTTTATAAATGAATCATCCTCTCAACTGCAGCAGGACGTTGATATATGACAATCACAATTTCAACTGTATACCTCATACATGTGTGTAGTTTAGAACCTCATGAGTGGGCTCTTTCAATGTGTAAGGGTGACAATCCTAACAGTTGGCAGGGTGTGCATAGAAAAAACAATCTCACCTGTGTGCTGGGCCCTGTAATTACACTATCTGTAACACTTGAGGGCTTTATAAGGTATGTGAGTGAGTGGTAATTCTTTATGACCTTCATACAAAGAGGAGACCCAGAATTTTACCTATTACCCTAAGCCTAGCTACAAGAAACAGTATCTCTCCTATTGGCTGACTCAAGTTACAACACTTACTATTGCACCTTGATCTGGATCATAAAATATATCACAATATTCCCTGAGGGCAGGCACCAGGCAAGAGAGTCACATCACCTAGGTGCTCGGCCAGATATGCTACAATCCCTTCCTGAAAGCAGGGTACAAGCAGCAGAGTCAAATCATAAAAGTGCTGGGCCCAGCAATATGTCTCAGTACCTTCTGTGGGCAGTGCCAAAGCAGGAGGATAGTCATATTACCAAGGTGCTGGGTCCAGTGATATGTCACAATCTCATTTGCAAGCTGGACTCAGGCAGGAGAGTCAAATCACTCAGGTACTGAGCAGAGGTGTATGTTAAAATCACACCTGCAGGAGGTCCAGGGACGAGACTACCAATCTCACACCTTTCCTGGTTCTTAGTATGAGAGTCACTGCTCACTGTAGGTTGGGTACAAGTGAAGTAAGAAATTAAGAAAATGACAAAATAATAGCATAAGTAATAATGGTAAAGATTAGAGTAATAGACAAATAATAATAGCTCATAGAATGAATTGTTGTATTAACCAAGGCTGAAAAAAATTTACATAGCCCCCCACAAAGTTAAAGTTAAAAAAAAATATTAACTGCCTGTCCCAAAAAACATTAACCATATGTACGCTCCACATATTTTGTAGGGTCTATAAGCTCGTTCCTTTCTTAGCTGCAAGGTCACAAAACAAATAAGCATAAGCTACAAACCAAGTTTTCCCAAAGATGTAAGACATGCTGCAAAAATATCACAGCAGCCTTTGTTCTTGCTTCTGTAAGCCTGCTTCCTGCTTCACATAGTGCCCGCCTCAAAATACTTAAAAGCAACTGAGTTCTTTGTTCGGGGCTCAGACTTTCAGGA